TTGCCATCTTTAAAGGTATTGTTTTGTGGTTATGCTGGACTAGAGTTAATCGCACAGCATGGAGAAAAGTTAGCATATTACCACCTCATGAGCCTATGATGCTCATTTCATATCCTACGCGACTAATATTGGAAAAGAAATACCCGTCCAGGAAGGGTGATGCATGAAGTCAGTGGACACCAAATAATAATCTTTTTATAAGGTACTAGAGGAAAATTCTTCATGCAATGTAAGGGCTCTACTTTACATTCCAGGAGAGGCAAAATAATTGCTATGGGCAAAGTCTTTTATTTATTTATCTCCCACCCAACTCCTGTGAGCATGGGGGGTCCAGACCACAGGAGAGCCCCTGTATTGGTTCCAAAAGGGGCCTGTTATGCTTAGGCACATGGAGGGATTTGGGAAAGAGCCAGGGTGGATCAGCAGGCTACATGCTTCTAATGGGAATTGCCAGCCCTTTGGAAGGGGGTGAGGATGTACATGGGGGCTGCAGATCCCGTAGCTGTGGAAAGCGCTATAGTCTGGCAAAAGGATTGCTGCCCCCCTGGCCTCACTCACTTCAGTTATTCAGGCTACGTGCTGGGACCAGAATCCAACCCCCTGGCAATTCAGGGTAAACTGGTGGGTCAGACCAAGTCACCAGTCCCATAAGGCGAGCACCAAAAAATACTGCCATGTCCCACAAAGTGTTTTGCTCAGACAACCCCAAAGAGGACACACAGCTCCATCTGGCTGGAGTAACCAAGCACATTCCAGAATGCCTTTCACAGATTAGTTTAGCTTTTCTCTCTCATCTTATCTGAGAAATCGCCGTAGCACTGGTACCACAGTAACAAGCTTCTCCTCTCCCCCCCCCCCCCCCCCGTTAAGTCAACTTTTGCCATGATAGATTACTTTAACATCTGATCTTGTTCTGCCACACTGTGTTAGGCTGGGCAATGCAGCCCTGAAATACACACAGGAATAGATTCTCAAGTCTGCTCACTTGGGGCATGTCCACACTCACAAGAAGATCGACATTCTGGAGGTCGATCTTCTAGCGTTCAATTTAGCAGGCCTAGGATAGGCCCCTAAAATTGAATGTTAAGGGCAGCACCCACCAGCGGCCAGTACGCCTCCTTCTGTGAGGAGTAAGGGAAGCCAACGGGAGCTTGTGCTCCCATCAGCCTCCTGCTGTGTGGATGTCGCCACGTACGCTGTCTCCTAGAGTTACATACCTTAAGCCAACCTGCCTAGTCTAGTATAGACCAGGCATACGTGCCGTGGGCTGTTGAGAAGACAGGAAGGTGGTATTAAATCATCTTTCTGCCCCAAATCCTTCAGGGGGGCAGGTGGGAGCTTTTTCAGCCCCTGGCACTGTTTAGAGCAGCAACAGAACAGTTTCTAAATTACAGCCCTTACCATGGCCCCAAAGGTGTTGCCTGCCTGCCAGAGATTGCTGGAGCATGTTGTGACCCATATAATTCCACATCCCTTCCCATGACCGGGTGGTATAGAACCAGCTATGCTGCTCCGGGGTTTTCCTATTCAAAGGGAAACCCCAGTTGACTAGGTAAGCCAGCTTCCTCTGTTCCACTAGGTAACATTAGTGTTTTTCAAAAATGCATTCAGAAGGGCCTTGATGTGAAAGATCAGCCTTCAAAATGCATTTGAAAAAAGGCACATCTGCAATAAAATGTATTTGATACGACACAGCGCATATACGGTTTCAGAATCAGAAATCTCCAGCTGCTCTGTGCAGCATATCATCACTGATGTTAACTTGTTTAAAAATAAGACCATATAAAACTAAAGATAAAGGACAAGACACAGCCAGTTTCATCTCAATTTTGCAAGCGTCTTATCTTGGCCACTCTGCTAACAAAGTTACCCTTCTTCCTGGAGATCTTAATGAAATGACAAGAAATAGTTGCTTCAAAGAAGTGAGGTAAAAGGAAGTTAACTAAGGAACCTTAGAATTGCTACTCAGGCCCGTAGTTCAAGTGATCAGCTTGGAAATCTCCCGCCGCGCCCCCCCGCCCCCCCCCCCAGCCTCCCTGAGGACAGTGCCAGAGG